ACGAAACAGCTTTTCGTTTCTTATCTAAGAATCACTTGTGTTGCTCAAGAAAAAGTCTCTTTCCCGTGAGAAAGATGTTGGGGATAAAAAAAACCAGTATACTGTAGTTTTACATGTTACATTTGCCATATCACCCTGCAGCTCTCAGCTGGCAGCCCCACTGAAGCTCAGCAGGGTTGAGCCTGACCAGTACCTGGATGGGAGACCTACTGGGAAGCTACAATTGCTGCTGGAAGAGGTGTTAGTGGGACCAGGGGGGGGCGCTCACCCTGCGGTCTGTGTGGGTCCTAATGCCCCAGTATAGTGGCGGGGACATTTTAGTGTGGGCGCCGTCTTCCCGATCTGACGTTAAACCGAGGTCCTGACTCTCAGTGGTCATTAAAGATCTTGTAATGTCCGGAGAGAAAAAGGTGGAACACTGGGCAAAGACAGGGAAGGAGAAAACAGGGAGTACTTATCCAAAGCCGTAGTCCTTAACCGGTGCAAGCCGTCAGCCAGAATATCAGAAGAGCAACAGTACAAGGACGCAATCCGAAGTCATAGTTCTAATATAGATCAGGACGTTTAGCCAGTAGGTTAGCAGGGGAATCGCACAGAGACGCAGGGAAGACACGAGAGAGGAGCTCTGCTCATTTACCCAATGCTAAGTGCTGTGATGAGGGTTAAGAGTCCATCAGTATTCTGGGGTTCCAGGGGTGTGGAAGTGATCGGGGAGTGTGATTGGGTCATTAGTCCAGACAGCACCGTTTGCGGTAATTAGCAATTGCGTGATTATAATTGTAGGGAACTTTGTCAGACTACCGGCGACTTTATTGTGATTAGACAGAGCTGTGACATTTCTCGATAAGAGTAGGGAGTTATCTTGGTGTCTGGGCCAAATTTCTCCTCTCTGTCTTTACCGTGGCCTCCAAACTGTCCCCATGTGTGACTGGCTTTCACTTGCCCTGTGATGGACTGGCGCCCCCTCCAGGGTGCACCCTGCCTTGCGCTCACTGCTTGCCGGGTAGGCTCCGGCTTCACGTGACACCATGTGGTACACAGCGGTCTGGTACATGACATGACATGACATGTTGCACTTGGTGTCGGGTTTGGCAGATTGTCAGGCTTTGCCCATGCAGTCACAGTCCAATTGTCATCAGGTCTTACAGGAACACCCAAAATGAAATATTAATCAAGGTCTTAACAGCAAAGACAAAGTACCTGCCTAATTAATTGAAGTGCTTTTCGTGAGAGGTTCACACAAATTTCACACAAATCACACAAAAGTGATTTTCCAGAAAAAATACTTCAGCAAAAGACCCCTCCATGTGATTTCTCCTTTAAAAAAATTGAAGGAAAGACATTTTGAGGCATTTTTTCTTTAAAAAGTGAAAGGAAAAAACATTTCAATTCCAGTTCCTAAGACACCACAGGCAGCCAAGTGGAGATGTAGAGCCAGAGATGACTCCTGTGGCTAGCCATATTCACAATGTTCCACCATGTCATTAACTCACACTGTACTTTAAGCAAACGGCTCTTAAAAAAGTGTCTATTGAACAACATTAATAATGCTTCAGCCCACTAATCTGTCAAGCTTTAACTGCGCATCGAGGTGCACTTCTGAATTCCCCATGTGCACCTTCAGCCACCTCTGTGGTCTACAGCTTGGCTTCATGGTAGATTCAAATTGAAATCCGCAGGCTCTCCCTCTGTGGGGGAGTGA